AATTTCGATAGAGAATATCATTTAATATATTTTAAATATTTAAATGTTAATTATGGTAATATTTTAATATTTTTAATAGGAATTTTATTGTGATTAGACTGACAAGATTTAAACAAATATTGGGCATAGTGTTATTCATTCTGTATTTGTAATAATATTTCTGTAATGCGTTTATACATAACTATTAGTCTTCAAATTTTTAATCGTTTTATTCCAATATCTCATAAAAAAAATGGCCCGGAATAAGTGGTATTTGAAGTTCTCACAGCGTTGAGTACGGACATGACTATCTTCTGGATTGAAGTGCAGGTTCGTCTGGTAGAAGTTTACCGACGTTTCGGAGGTACTTGCTGCCTCCATCGCCAGGGGACAATATCCTAGAATACAGCTAACTTCAGGTGTGATGGTTAGTTTACATAGCAATTATTTATTTTAATCCGTCTGATCACAATATAATTTTATTTAAAATAAAATAAAATTATATTGTGATCAGACGGATTAAAATAAATAATTGATATAATATTCACAATATGACGCCATTACACTATCTTAGTTTACATAGGTAATCTAACCATAAGGAGGTAAACTTTCCGTGTAACAGTAAACAAATTCATTTTATGAGTTCACAAATTTTAATATTGCGTCAAAGCAGAGTTATTCTGTATAATTTATGAGTCTAGACGACTACACTAACAATGGCGACGGTACGTGACAGAAATATAACAGATTGAATTTAAAGAGAATGAAAGTGGCAGGCAGTTTGAACGCAGAAAATTTTCATAGGAGTTTTATAGAGAAAGGATTTTCCGGAGTGTGAAATATAATTTCACCACAGATTCGTTCGTGAAAGAAAATGCCTAGAGTTCGTGTATAAACTGAAATTTTCGTAGGGGTAAACTTCAGAGCTCTCTTTTACGTAATTATGAGCTTGACTTGAGCAACTGAAAGGCTGAAATTTTCAAAGGAGGGCTAATTTCTTAACGATTTCAATATTACCAAAATTTCTCGAACGGAAACCGAAACTACTTCTGATCTGAATATTATGTCTTGAAAACATGAAAGAAAATATGTCATCCTTCAACACTTCAATGTGTTTGTGATAAATTTTAATGAAAACTTAAATCCTCCATGTAAACGCAGACAATTTAAATTATAAATTTCAGAATTCCGAATGATGGGATAATACCACTCGTATTTGGCCTAATGGTAATGGTATTAAGTCGAACACTACGTGTGTTCGTATCATGTAAATTTAAAATGAAATGCTGTTATGATATTTTATCCATCGTCCAAGCGTGCGATTGCCATGTTATGTTTCAATGACCATCACGGTAATTTGAAAACAACGAGATGTAATGTTTTATTATCAGGATATCTTCATGACGTGGTTTCATACCACTGTTCACAAAAGTCGGTCAATTACTACGTAATAATACACCTGACTACATTGAGCACAGTCCTTGAAAAGTTAAACTTTAATACTCGATCATATAGTCAAAGAAATTTTCGCCTTTTATTTGAAACTTATATTTCATTACTGTGTTTACTAGAACCGGAAGAAACCTCCCCACATCATATTTCTTCAATATCCATTTTAATATTATCCGATGAAATAAATTAAGGTTAAAACTAACGGGCACAAGACAATAGGTAACTTTGTGTATCATTGAATAGTTGAACATAATAATTCACTGGGATATTTATGTATAAGGCGTGATATAATTATAGACCTTCATCTAAGGTAAATATAGACCCGTATTTAAGATAATTATAGGCACATGTCTAAAATGATTACAAGTCTACACCAAGATAATTTTGTTCGTAGAATAGAAGTGAATATAATTTATGTTTCAAGTCACGAACAAATAATAATGTGTCAAATAGTTTATATTTTAAGTTATAAACAGATAATGATTTGATAAGTAGTAATTTAAGTCATAGCAAATAATAATTAAATAAATTATATATATATACAATTTTAAAATAAACTTTTGATCATTCCAAAACTGGTGGCTAATTTATTTTTACTTTTCAGTAACTTTCATTACTCTCATGTGATTTAGGTTAGGTTGGGTTAGGTTAGGTTAGGTTGGTTTAGGTTAGGTTAGGTTAAGTTAGTTTAGGTTAAGTTATAAGTTAGTTTAGGTTAAGTTAGGTTAGGTTGGGTTAGGTTAGGTTAGGTTGGGTTAGGTTAGTTTAGGTTAAGTTAGGTTGGGTTAGGTTAGGTTAGGTTAGGTACAATGCATTCTGTACGAAACTTGCCATAGCCTCTTGACTATAGTTCCTTTGAAATTTTTGTGTGTTTCTGCAGATGTAAACAGCACAGTAGACAGAATCATTTTTCGTCATCATCATTTGATCCATTATAAAAAAATTACCTAATTTCACAATTGAGTAGTTAGCACTCCTGCTTCATATTCTGAATATTCCGGGCTCAAATCTCTGCCGGGATACTGACTAATCTGGCTCAGGCTTCTGTGACTTTCCTCAGTCCCTCCAGACAAATATCGAGATATTTTCTTGAATTAAGCCACCGCTATCTTCCAAGTCATTAATCATCCTAGCTTTCTACGCAATGGGACCTGAGCTATTGACGACGTTGTTAAACAAACCATAATTAAGAAACTGCGAAATCAGCACAGCATCGCCAAATATATTTTAAAAATATCATTGAATTTTGTGTTCCCTGTACAATTTTATTTTGAAGCAATTTTGTTTAGCTTCGTATAACACGACAGCGTATGACAGGTACCCCTACACTTAAGCTATATTTTCAATTAGGTTTTAAAGGTCACAATCAATATCTAAAATTACCTTTACACTTCAGTCTGTCAACTGTAATTGCACAGGTTATTACACAAATTGATTGTTTTGTTTCAATTAAATAGAAACAAGTTATTAAAATGTCAATACTTCTACTCTGTTATATATGTATCTTGTTCAGATTTATAGGTCCTTATAAATATTTCTTAAGCAAATAATGTCTTCTGAATTTTAGATACTTTAGTGTGTTATTTCAAGACGACATGGTGTTTCTGAAAAAATGTAGGCCTATAGTCACATAAGTGATAACATTAAACATTAGCAAGTGACAACTGACTAAATAATCACTGTAAGAAGTTTTTCACATCGAGGGAATTTCTCAGATGAGACACTGGATTTGTTGAAAATGTCAAAATATTCTGCATTTGCCTTGTAGGCATACGAGTACCAACAGAGTCTATGATGAAATGGCAGTTTTTCATTTGAACCCGTTAATAATAAATTTATCATCGAGATGTTGTCTAGAATAAAATGTTTAAAAAATTAAACAATTCAAAATTAAATAATAATTTCGTACAGTATCAAATTACAGCAATAAAAATTCAGTGTAATTATTTTTTACAGGGTTTGTTAAGATTTGTAGCCTATAATAATAACTTGTAATATAAATTAGAAGCCACGGTGGTCTAGCGGTTAGAACGCTGGCCTTGTAATCCTGGGGGGTCTCGGGTTCGATTCCCGGCGGTGCCCGAATTTATAACTTGTGTTGGGCAAGGCCGTGGTCTAGGCAACACGGAGTTTTCCTCCGTGGCATCCCAACAATTACTCCATTCACACACAGAAGAAGGCAATGGCAAACCAATTCTGGATCATCTGCCAAGAACGTATATGAACAGGTCCCAGTCCGAGAAAAGGATGGAAGGATCCTGTTCATATGGACCTGTCGTCAGACAGAACACTAAATAAATAAATAAATATAAATTAATTATTTCGTTCTCTGCTCTCTCTATCGTAAATTCGAATCTTTCTTTCTGCGTGAATGATGTTATTCAACTTGAGGTCTCTTGTCGCACACGATTCTCGCATTCAGCAGTTTTCTGAAACAGATATAACTCTTTGTACTCGCTTAGCGGTACCGCCGTGGGGATTATCTTACAAACGGACTATAAGTAAGACTGGAATGTGTCTTCGTAGAAGACTGAAAGTAATTCAGATCGAATGAAAAGTCATTTCCTTCCATAACTCTTTCCAAACTTTATTTTCACAGCCATAAATTTTATCACACGAGCCATAATTTCTACTCTTCGGTTCTGAACTATCACCTTGAATATTTCATCTATACGTCAACTATAGGGGATTAATTAAACTTTACTTGAGAAATACTTTAACCCATCCCATTCTCATTAAATGAAATTAAGCTGAAGAATTTGTTGAAACAAACGATTATGTTATCGTCTTTCCAGAGAAGTGTTAACAACTGAAAAGAGCTTGCTTGCAAGTAAAGATAACATTAGTCTTGGTGAACGGAACTTCAGAAGTTTGGAACAGAGGCTGTTAATTCTCGTTGAAGCCTTAGAAGAAATTCGGTAATAAAAATAAATTTCTAGAACTTGAATGATCTAACTTTTCGACGTTAGCGGGAGTTGATGACTGTCGTGTTAACGTATGAATGTTTATCCCTATGAACGAAGTCACTTAAAATATTGAAGTTGCAATATGTTTAAAACACAGCTATCAATAAAGTCGATATTATGAAACCCAGTTGCTAAATTATTCAATTGAACAGACTTCTACAGGAATAGATATCTTCTTGGTTGTTACGTCGTGTATTCTGGCCGACGTTTCGGAGGTCAGACTACACGGCGCAACAACCCAGAAGACAGCTACTTTCATTTTCGACTCCGTTAGAACCTGATGTATCACTCAGACGTCTTCAGTATTTCTACCTAAATCAAGGTTCCGGGTTTAAATCTTGGTCCGGGGACATTATGTCCTAACTGAGAATATATCTTGTTTTTACTCAGCGTCTGTAAAAAAAATTCTCCAATTCATCACAACGTTCGATATCATAATTTACGAACTTAAAGGGGCGTCGTTAAATGAACCAATAATTAATTACGGCTTTATAAACGGAGAAAATTATTCTTAAAGTAAGTGTAGAATGTTAAAATGTTAGTGCATGTGATTGAAGTAGGAATAAGAATTGCCAATTGACTGATGTCCTTACATACTTACAGATTTATCCGTTGGGCTCATAAGTGTTCTCACTGACATCGTGTGGCGAGCAACTGTAGTTTGGTATGCTGGTAACGCTGCTTGTAAGATCATCAAATTTCTGCAGGTGAGTTGTTACTCGAGGTCGTGAGACCAAAACCACGAACACATTAAGTAGGATTTGGTGTTTTCTCTGCGATGGTTCAGCACCTAGATGACTGTACTCTGGGTTGTAGCCCTGCGTAGTCTGGTAGAAGTTTACGGACGTTTCGGAGGTCTGAGTGGACTTGTACTAATGATAGAGGCAGGAAGGACCTCTAAAACGTTTATAAACTTTTACCAGACCACACCACATCTTCGGTGACACGGTAAAACAAATTATGTTTGCCTGGTTATTTATAATTAATTACGAAACACTTATCAAATTAACAGTATTTCAGTTTCGCTAAATGTTGAGGAACAACATTTTTGTTGTCATCAGAACCCCATTATTTTATATGTTACTCTGATAAAAAAAAGAACTAGGTTTGTACCCTGTTTAGAAAAAAACCAGTTGTAGTAACCGAGAGGAATTTCAATGGTTGACCTTGGGCTCATTTAGTTGTCGGCCAGGCCTCTACTATCGAAGCTAAAAATATCATGCCTATTCCCTGAAACCAGTATAAGATTATTTCGTATTAATTATAACAGGCCTGATACTTTGTTTCATAACAACTTCTTCAAATTAGAAACGCACGCGACTGGTATCTGACAGTCCAAATTGTTTGACCCCAAATTTTTGGGAAGAGTAGTAGAATCCCTCTTTATCGCCTACCAACCCACGGGCGATCGTTTAAGGACAAGCTTTCATCATCACGCTGTTGCCGTAGATACTTGTGAATGCTGTAAATTTTATGTTGATATTTTACGTGGTCAGAACAGCCAACATGTTGATACATGAAGTTTATTGGCTGCTGGCCGGAGGGTTGGGGGTTCAAATTGCCAACCGACGTCGTGTATAACACGAGGTAATGTTTTAAATCTCCCCTGGGTCACGACCTATTAATGTTTAAAAAAGTGTTTACTTCTTATCAGGTTTTAGAGAAATTTTTTCCACTATAAAATAAATTTTGTAAACGAAATTATGTGTATTCGGGGGTAATACGGTCTGTGTTTTGAAAATAACTTTGCTGGAAACTTATCACTGTTTATTCTGATAGAATTACACGCATGAGAAGAGGTCGACAAATATTTACCAAGAACACCAGTCACATAAAATTCTATCGCCAAACGTTTTCTCCACACGAACAATGAAAGTTGGAAAATAACTAATTACGACTGACCTGCACATCAAAGACTTGAGTCACTGTTAACTGCTACAAGAAATTCTTAGAATCTTACACTTCAAAAGAATTTAAATTAAACAAAAGCGACGGATCAGTCACACAGTAATGAACAAAACAAATAACTTTAATATTTTTCCTGCTTTGCGACGTTCAAACACGTCAGTGCAATGTCGCGTTAACAAAGGCCTTTATACCCACGCGGGTTACAAATCGCATTTGCTTAGATGTTATAAAAAGACCTTATATATATACGAGGTGCGATCGGAAAGTTTCTAGACTGTGTTAATAGAGGGCGAACCGGATGTAGTACGGGCTTCTGCCGCTACGGGGGGCGGCCTACATTCATAGTGAATCAGTGTGCCAGCCGGCA